TTTATTAAAAGATGTATTTTGACCATAGAAACACATCTGTCACTTACATAAGAGCATATTGTTAACACAATGTTAATAAATATTACCGATATTTATACTTAGTATCTTGAACATAAATAAGACCGATACTTATACATAAAATACAAAAAACGAGACCCATTTCAGGGGCACGCCCCCATTAGGCAAGTTCTATGTATTGCCCCCGGCGTAATACTAGTACAAGCCTCCCTAATGTAGTCTGGAATAAAATAGATAGAATAGTTGTTAATTCTGTTTGAGTAATAGACACGTGACCGGATATTAAACTATCGTATTTACTCATTTTGGTACAAATATTATCACAGTGTCATAGTTATTTGTTGGATAAAAAAAATCGTGTTCTTAGTTTGCGATAAGAATAACCGTGTATTGACTATAAACAAGACTGGGTTATATTTTTGTAAAGTTTGTATTTTCATAGAATATTGTTGTTTTCAAATACACGTGTGTGTTTGGGTGTGGAAAATTAACTGAATTTTGCTATTTTTTATGAATTTGATCACGGCTGTGCATTTGTTATCGCGTGCACCGTATCATTATCTCCGGGACGTCCCCGTATACACAATGTAGCCATAAACTCTTCTGTGAATCTTCTGTTCATTACACCATATATAATTGGGTTACAACAACTGTTGCAGTATCCTAGCAACAACGTCGTCATTTCAACGACAGGCGACAGCAAATTCGGTGACACCACTCCCAAAACCATCGTTATACAAAAGGGCAGCCAGGCAAGGACGAAAGCGGCGATAACAACCAGAAATAACTTTGTCAACTTCATATCCTCTTCGCGCTTTCTTCTCACTCTCTCTCGGTCGATAGCAGCGGCCTCTTTTGCGTTATTTGCTTCTACCCGTTGCCTGCTGCGTCGGACGGTGTTCCAAATACTTGCGTATGAAAACAACATTATGCAGCAGGGTCCCCCGAAACACAGAACTATCATAAAGACTGTGTAAGATATACTGCTTCTCCACTTGCAGAAACAGAACGATTGGTTCGGCAGATAATCGTATTCAGCCCATCCAAACAGTGGTGGTGATGCGAGGCAGCATGCTAATAACCATACCCCTGAATAATATATATATATATATATATGGAAATACAAAATAATGAATTATCATAAAGTAATGATTCCCAGTGTCATTAGTTGTGTAGTATTAAGTTGCGCATACATTCACCTGTTGTTAAGCAATTATCCCAACACAAATAATTCGATAGATATATAAGATACGAATCGATAAGTTAATCCAATTGATAACTGGGATATCAATTATCTATTGTATTAATTATACTATATTTTTATTTTTATTTTAGTGTGAGTAGAGAATGTCATGTAACAATTACAAAACAATTATAATACTGGTTCACATTTCAAGAAACCGACATTTCCTCACTAACATAAGCGTCACTATTGTCTCATTGATCGCGTTATCTACAAGTCCCATACGACGCGTACTTATAAAGAGAGCGCAAAATATAATATTTGTTCAGATGAAGTTCGAACCCGCTAAACGACGACTGTGACATTTTAATCAGTTCTTTTTCACAGAAAAGTCCAAATCTTATGAAACGTTTTCGCTCAAATCAATCGTTTCAGCGCTTACTTGGGGTCGCAAGGGTATGTGGATTTTGAGACTTGACGGGCGGTTTTATTACTTAAGCAGATTTTAGTTCTAAAAAGGGCCTTTGAAGTGCTTCAGCGTAAGGAATTTCGGCTTTTCATATGTTGTATTCCCAACCTTCAAACGCTTTAACAAACAGTGATTTCCAAACCTTCTTTTTGAACTCAACACGGCTTGTATGTAATTAGGTAAGAAACATTAACGAATTGGCAATGAACAGACATTTTCCCATCGTAGCATTGTTTCATTTTATTTGTGTGGTTTGACTAATACCGTGTCGACATGTGTGCCTCAGACCCGGCTTGGCTAACTTGGTAACAATCATTATGTATATGTAAATTGGCGTACGTTACCACAATGGAAGAAAAACTGCGCATTTTTCAGTTCAAAATATTGCATCAAATTTTGGCAACAAACAATTATCTTTTCCAAAATTAAATCCGATTGGACAATTGTTGTAAATATTGTATACAAACAGAAACAATTGAACATCTCTTCTGGGAATGTGCAACCATAATTTCGTTTTGGAGATTATTTCAAAACCATTGGAGGGGGGGGGGGTATTCCGGGAAGTGATAATATTGTTCTAAGCTGTGAACGTATTCTCTTTGGATTCCCCCACAAATCTACACTATTAAACCATCTTATTTTAATAGGTAAATATGTTTCATATATATGCCGCTTTAGAAATGTAACGCCTTCTCTTGATTATTTTATGAAGATTGTCAAAGAAAAGAAATGTATTGAAAACAAGTCATTGTCAATGATACGTCCCCTTTCCGTTCCGTTCATTTTTGAGTGACATATACTTTCAAAGCAGATCATGACCGAAATCTCAGACAACTGAAAGTGGTCTGATCCGAAATGCACCTGCATATGTACAATAGATTGTACTAAATCTGAACAAAATCCATCCATGCATGACTGAGATCCGGTTCCGGAATTGTGAAAATATGTGATTTTGATGCATTTTTTGCCTTAAAATGGACATCATTCAGCTATTGTTAAGCGGATCATGAAACAAATGCACATATCTATTTGTGACATGATGTACCATGTGTGTGTGAAGTTTGAACTTGATCAATCCAGACATGTCTCGGATACGGATCCAGAACTGAATTCTTTAAAACAAAATGGCCGCCAGTCGGCCATTTCAAACTAGATCAAAAAAAAAATGTCGTGCATCAAGGTCCTATTATGTTTAATGTATGTACCAAATTTGAACAAAATCCGTCCATGCATAACTGAGATCCGGGTCCGGAATGGTGAAAATGTGCGATTTTGATGCATTTTCGGGCTTAAAATGGCCGCCATTCGGCTATCGTTAATCGGATCATGAAAAAGATGCATGTGCATATGTCCCATATAATGTGTGATGTATGAGTGAAGTTTGAACTTAATCGGTCCATGCATGTTCGAGATACAGGTGATCACGGACGCACGGACGCACGGACGCACACAGGGCAAAACATAAGTCCCCGTTTTCGGACTACGTCCGAACGGGGACTAAAAATGTCTTGAACGAAACAAAATACGTTTTAAATTGGGGTGCGTTGGCACCCTTGTTGGAATGATTAGCTTCTCTGTACTATTTTTGTAATGTGGATGTCGGGTCTGTGACGTTTTTACTGTTATGTAAACCATTGTACTTATTATTAGAAAAAAAACAAAAAAAAAACATTATCAATGGTTTTAATTAGTAAAGATTAAACTGAGCCGGCGTTGTTATCGGCCACGATGTTTCTTTAAATGATTCCTGTAAGTACGGGGCGCAATTCGAGACTTCCCATTTTAGGCTGTCTTAAACCAAATCGGCGTGGCGACGGCTTATTTTGTTTACAGTGTTTCAACGCCGGCTTAACTATAAAGCTGGTCTCCAAATCGGATGTTTGGCACACGTGTGAATACGATAGAACAGATGCCAGTCTGGAAAATGTTAGCCATTCACACATTCTTTACATCTTTCTATTTAAAATTGTCATAAAATCAATTATATTTTTAATATCTAACTCAAACGTCTAGAGAGACTGCAATAATTGTAGGCGCCGAGCGATGTCACTGAAAATGGGTTACTATTTTATACGTATCAGAGATGCAGGTAATACAATGTTCCCATGGCAATATACTGACTGATCACCCATTGTATATTTCAACGTCAGGCAACTATGCCTTAAGATATGACAGTGCTACAGGTATGATGTCGTCGTACCACCTCTTGTTCGATATGTGTCACATGAGACGTATATATAACCCATGTAAAATACATTGTTTGTTTGCACGAAATTCGAACGCAGGCTGTTTATTGATGGACTAACCGTATTTTTTAAAATACGTTTGGGCACGCACATGCGTCAGACGACAGCTAAGACCTTTGACGGTACATGTATGTTGCATCGTTTTCTTTTATTATTTGCTGTGCTAGATAAATGGCATGATATCCACCATACGCCGAATACAATACTACACACACACACGAAAACGTTATATTATTTGAAGGCTTACCTAGTATCATCGCCGCTGTACCCTTTTTGTTGTAAACGCTTCTAAAATGATGGGGATAGGAGATGAGAATAAATCGATTGACGCTGATAGCACCCAGTGACATAACAGACGCAATGAAATTGACCATGCTAGTGAACCCAAAGACAGAGCACCAAGCACTACCTAATACCCACTCTCCGTAAACGATGGTAACGACGGTAATCGGCATGTTTGCAATCGACACCATCAAATCAGCACCACTCAGGCATAGCACCAGCGCATTCGACGTGGTTCGTAGTTTGCGACTGCAAACAACAACCACCCAAAGAAAGACGTTTCCTGTGATGGATACGAGACAAATTGCAGTTAATATGACACTTTCTATGATTTTCTCCGTCAACGGTACACTTCCCGGTACAGTATCTAGACTTGAATCGTTGCAAGCTGATGTTGATGTGGTTTGTGTTACCGTCATCATCTCCGGCGGTTATCATTTCAGAAAGAGATGTTCGCTCGTTTTAAATACACGAGACAACTGCCAGAAAGAAAAAATAATCTTCCGAGTCGGTTGTTCCTGACTGCACATGCGCTATATTGATTGACAAATATGACGTGTGTCACCGTCTTCGCGTAATGCACGGCGGGGGGGGGGGGGGGTGGTATCGAGCGTATGCCTGACATTTTTATGACAATTTAGGTTTTATCAAATATTTGGAATTTCTGAAAATTTGATATACGTTAATTCACGAAAACACAGTCTATACAAATAATATGGCCGTGTCACGGATTAACGACTGCAATATTTTTCATATTTTTACATTTCATATTTTTCATATATGTCGTGTTCGAACCACATATCGTATGGTAGTTCGTTGCTTCTAGGCACTGATATAATCATACCTTATTGGAAGGTATTATTTTTAGATTTTTACAGGTATATTGAACATTATTAAGTTTACACTCCGTCCACGTGTAAGTGTGACATTGATTTTAAACTTAGCCAACAATTATATGTATATTTCTTATACTGGTACAATTTGTAAACGTAAATGTACATTTAGCGCCCTCCTGAGTTATGTCTTGGATATTCTTTTAACATCCTCATCTGCAATGCTAGTTCCCGGTAAAGAGTAATCGCCATATTGTCCCACTGGGCCGACATTCCAGCCTAAAAGCACGTGACTAAGTACATGTAACGTAATTTGAAAATATTCCAAGTTCCGCTCTGCGTAAACGTGTCTGTAATACTGCCATAATACCATGTTCATTCTTTCTGCCTGCTTAGACCTTGTTACGGTTCTGGTATTTCTCGCTAATTGTGTAACAAAGAAACAGTTTTATTTTTACGAGAGTAAAGGCAAAAACCCTGCTTTAAATATAGAACGATCACGAGCGTAAACGCTGACGTCAGGTAACCAAGGGAAATACAACAAAGGACGAGAACTTTATGAACCAATCTGAATGTCGGAACCAGGCAACTGCAATGGCGGCTTCAATCACAGACCACTAATAAAAGTGGTGCGAAGTGTGAAACTACAGTGTAAAGTAGACTGTAAATCTTAGGAGCACTTCCATGTTTTCACTCCACATTGTTTTTCATCAAAATCCTACTGTTGAGTTAAAAACGTGTGTATTTTATTATAAAACATCTGTATTTTCTATCAAACCAGTAGTGTTTTAGTGTTTTTAGAAAAGTGTTTTTGGAAGTTATTAAAACACGTTTTGATGAAAATGAAGCACATTGTGAACGCACGAATATACACTTTTATTAAAATGAATGTTTTACGAGGAGATAAATGTGTCATTAAAGTGTTTATTCATAGAACATTTATCAACTAATGCGTCCAACTTTATGCATTATGCAAGCAGTGATAAACAAATTTAAAGAAATGTCTGGGGGCTCATAATAAACATTATTATACATCTGTCACTGTAACGCCACAGCGTACCGTAATTTTGCGGTGATTTACATTCATGTAATAATAAAAAATCAAGCATGGATGCCACCAGGACGCCACACTCACAGAAGTTCGCTGATTCTGTTCTAAACCTTCGAATTTCAGCATTCCCATGATGTATCCTGGGAAAGAAAAGTTTTCTATAATAATAAGGTTATTATGAGAATACCTCAAAACATGCACTCAGACAGTACGCCGTCGCATCGACCTCTGCTGCGCGTCGGCCGATGCTCCCGCTGTACTGTCTTCGTGACGTAATTCAGCGCATAACGAGATTGCCAAGAAATTACCCTCAGAAAATAATTTCATGTTTATATGGTCCAACCAGTTTATAAGTACAACTGGAAATTGAGACACGTGGTAAATACAGTACCTGATGGCCTAATGGATTTTAATACTTCGCATTTGGTGAACGGTGGTTGGTAGTTCCACTCACATCTGAGCAGTCTCACATGTGATTTAAGCATTTGTTCTCGAATACTGTTCAATTTGAAACACTTCAGAAATCAAGAATGCTTCAACCCACAATACCAGACTTTAAATTTTTCGCAAAGTGTTAATGTATAAGGCACATGTGTTTATGTGCGTAACTAAAACACTTTCCTTTCAAATTACACATGCAATATTTCAACCTGAAACAGCCGACTATAAAAGTGTTCATATACAGGATACTTGTGTAAGGCCTCTACGGTATATAACCACACTGCAAATCTGAGTGTTTTAAAATATGACACATTTTTGTCCACCACTTTAAGTGTGTTTTTCCTTAAAATTGCCAATGAGCCATTTTACAACACTACTGTTTTTAAAATAAAACATTGTTACTGTTTTGTGTTTATAAGCTTGTTCCCACTTTAAGAACACTTAAAGTGTTTATAATCTGCATAATTACGAAAAGTGTATGTGATGAAAACACTTGCAGTCGGTGTTTTATTTCAATATTTCAAAACTGTTTTTGCACATAACACATTATGTGAAGTGTTTCCAATATAAACACGTATTGAAAAGTGTTTCCACAAGGAACATGTATAAAATGTACTCTCACAACATATAGTGAAATATTATTGTAAAGAAATTACACTTATTTTAGACACGGATAATAGTATTCAATAGTATCTCCATGTTTTAAGCAAATACAGTAGGTCATATGGTTAACACAGACAATGTGTGGTTCATCCATTTATTTTTGTTTTCAGACGTATTTGACGTATTGGTGACCTCCGTTAGAAGTCAGTGTCACGTGACCACCTAGACAAGCATTTTAAATAATGCTTATTAATTGTATAATGGCCCCCGACCCATTACAATCATACAAATTGATTATTGACAAGAAATAAATTTATCTTACAAACTATGTATGAAAATATAGATGAAGAGGGTTTCAACAGATAGTATAACCACTATATGTGATGGGGATATTAACATCCTTTTTTATTTTTATTTTTAGATATATACATACAAACTTAATAGGTTATTTGATCTTTGATTAAAAAAACAACAACTTATAAATAAGTAGAGCTGATGAGTTAATGATTTGGTTGTTAGAGAAACTTATTAACTGTACTAGAGTATTCAAATTTGGGGGTTGTGTCTCATTTTGGAGATACTTTATCCTGATAATGTTTATCCACCGTATTTAATGCGAATAACACATTTTGATGTTACTTCTTGAACCGTGTAGCCCACAAAATAATTGAAATAATTTACTGTACTAGAGTATTCAAATTTGGGGGTTGTGTCTCATTTTGGAGATACTTTATCCTGATAATGTTTATCCACAGTATTTAATGCGAATAACACATTTTGATGTTACTTCTTGAACCGTGTAGCCCACAAAATAATTGAAATAATTTACAAGTTCTAATTTTGTGTACTCATTGGTAATTGCCAGTCGATTTTTTTTCTTTCAAGATGCAATGTAATGCACTGCTTTTCTCTGAATTGTACTACCGCAGTCCTCAAAACATTACAACTTATCTGTATGGTGAACTCATAGAATTACATTTTGGTAGTTGCGTAGATCATCTTTAAGACAGGAAATATTGGTCAGGTGCCCAAAGGGCAAAACATTGCAAGATCGTGACAAACAACAAAACACCAACTTTTCAGGAAAGTTACGTTTTGCCATGCACATTGCAAAAAATAGTGTGGCGACAGCAGACCCACTGGATTATATGGATTGAAGCACATGAAAAGTAAAGCATCTGTGGCATTCGAATAAACATTCCAAGTTCTCCAGGCACTTGTCTTGTCCTTCCCATAGAAGGACAATATTGTTCCGCGCCCTGTGAAGGCATGGAGAAGTATAGCAGAGAACGGGATTTGTCCTTTCCAAGATGCTGACAAATAGTGTTAATATGGTAATACTTAAACTGTGTTCCAGTCCCAAATGCTATCCATATATGAGTATTAGGAAACTGTTTTGAAATATCATAGAATTGACCAATTATAATGACAATTACATCGGTGTCCACTGTGCAAAGCATAACACTCCCAGCCCTTTTGCCTTTCCCAGTCAGTAAAATGTACTTTCATCCTCGTGCCGGCTTCTTCATGGTCACAATTGATCATTGGCTCCGCTGCACCCTTGCTGATTACTCTCTAATCTGGAAATAATTGTTCATAATAGATACAATCTTATGAGGAAATATAAGTTGCATGAATCAGAAGGTATGTCATATATCGGCCATGTTTTAAGAGGATTGTCAGAACTTACTAGATGTGATAAATAATACCTTGTTTTCCGGAATATTGATATCTTCTACACACTTGCTGAGAAATGCAGATAGCTCAACCTTGTTGGTTGAATCTCGCAGAAAATCATTCCATTTCTTCGGTAAATTTGTTCTTCCAGCAACCTTGTTCGAAGGCCCATTCTCCTTTTTCCCTGGTTGATCCCTTTGTATTGCAAGTTATGTAGCAGTCCCATACACACTCCAATCTTCCTGTACTTTGTAACTCACGGAGAATGAAAGAGAGGAATACATTTTCTGCATATTCTGTTGCTTGAATCAGATGTTGGAAGGACGTGCACAACTGGTGTACTATCAAATATGTACGTTGTTGATTGGCTATGTAGAGGTTTTGATTTGATCTTTGGTTCGGGAGATTTCAGCAGTGGCAGAGAGTTCTTTTTTATTGTGTGCTGGATAGGTAATGATCGATCTTCAACAGACTTCAGTGGTACTGATTTGGATTGGAGGTTCCAGATAGTTTTTATTACTGAATCGTCTGCACAAGCACGAGTATTTAAAATAAAACGCTCTGGTCAGTCATCTAGAAATGGGTATAACATCCACTGCATGCTTTATTATGGCTGGTGTATCAGCTTTTTCATAAAATGCTGCATAGCAATGCTGTGATAGCAGCGGGATCAGTTATTTTATGGCTTGGAATATCTCTTGTCAAAAGCTGTATAGTGTTATCCATGTCTCTTCAGTAGTTATTGCCTTGCTCCTGGGGGCTCCCTTTTCTTAGCGTTAAACGCAATCAGCTGAGAAATGGTCATGCAAGCTTG